CACATTCACTCTGAACAGCTGTAACTCATGTCATCAAGAATTCAGTAGTCCAGCATCGCACGCTTATGCCAAAACACATTCTGATGCTGCTTATGTGTTATTTATGTAATGACCGGAGAAATCTGCACATCTAAAACATTACTGCAATTCACTGCTGCCAGACAGACACAGTGCTGCACAGACCTCCCAGGAGAACCATTCTGCAGATAACAACAGCAAGCTGAATTTGAAGGAAAATCTTTTCCACATAAGTGAGAGTATAGGGAACGCATTAAGTTGGTGACTGCTCTTCTGTGAAGCACAGGAATCAATCACCTCCAACAGCTTCTTCTCCCCTGACACGCTGAGATGACCAACACATGCTGCAATAAGCACAGATGTGCCTCAAACAGTACAGAAAAATGACAGACCTATGAGTACCTTTTTTTTTTTTTTTTTTTTTTAATTGAACCATTACTTGGCTCTGTGCAAGCAGGAACACCTGCATCTCCATTTAGGACCTGAATGCCATGCTGAGCTGCTGGAAACTGCGAGCACACAGCTTGGAGTGCTGTGACACATCTGCTCCTTTGAGAGCCTCCATGTGTATGTGAAGCCTGTACTATGAACCACAGAACACCTCGTGCTGCTCACACTGCCTGCTGATGCTTCAGACCTCTGACACACAGCAAGATTCGGGGAGATGAGTGGAGCAAAGCTCAGCCTGCCCTCCCTGTTCACCTTCCTGAGGGGATGGGCACCTCGAGGCAGTTCACGAAACACTGCTGTATGGAAGCTCCGGTCGGCAGCCCGCTTAGCGAGCAAGCTCATATATCTGCTTCTGGACGGAAAGGTTTTCTCCGGAGAGCTCATCTGGACAGATCCCAGTTTAAAGCCTCTCCAGGAGCAGAACCGAGCTCAGCAGTGCGGAAAGTAGTTTCTCTTCACACCGACAGCTCCCCGACGTGCCGAGGTTGGGCTCAAAGCGCCCTGCGAGTCTCCACGTACGGATCGCGGCACCAAACGCAGAGCGGGGCCGAACTCGGCACTACCAGAGCCTTACGGAGCAGCATCGCACGCAGCGAGGAGCGGACATCGCTCAGTGCAACACCCCAACGGGACCGCGCAAAGACCGCCCGAAGGCGTCAGCAGCGCAGCGCCGTCCCGCAGCCCCGCCCGGGCAGAGGCGCCGCGCCGCACCGAGCCCCGCGCCCGGCCGCCTCCAACCGGCGCAGTGTGGCCCGGCGCGCTGATAGCAGGGCTGCCCGAGCCGACGCCGGGCCCGGTCCGTCCCGGAGGGATTCCGAGCGGAGCGGCGCCCTCGCCGCCCCCGTCCCGAGGAGCCACCGCGGGCCCCGCCGCCCCCACCTGGCGAATAGAGCTCGGCCAACTCGCGGGCCCCGGCGTGCTGCGCTCCCCAGCGCCGGCTGCCGCTCTCGGGTTCTTCCGAGGCCTCGCCGGCCGGCCCCACCACCTCCTCCCGCGGCGGCAGGCTCTCCATGGCCCGGCCGCGCGGCTCCGGGCCCCGGGGCGGCTGCTCCTCCTCCGTGCCGATGGGCAGCTGCGAGGGGCGCCCAGGGCCCGCCGAGGCGTCCAGCGACAGCACTGCGGCCCGCGGCAGCATCGGGAAATGGGGCCGGGCCGCGGGGGGGGGGGGAAATTGAGGGAGAGGAGGAGCGCGGACGGCGGGCGCGGCTGGACACGCCCCCACCGCCGCGCGCCCGTCGTCGGCACCGCCACGCGACCTGCAGGCCAATGGGAACAGGCGCTCGGTGCGGCGGGGCCAATGGCGTGGGGGGAGGGGCGGGAACACGTCTGGAGGCGCGCCGCGGGCACATCTGGCGACGGGAGCGCGCGGCGCGGCGGTGCCGCCGTCCCTGTGTCCTGCCGCGCTACTTTCTGCCGCCCCAAGGCTCAGCCGGGCCGCGCAGACCCTCGCCGCGCCCCCACGTGGCCTCCTTCCGCGCCGCAGAGCCGGGACGGGGCAGCAGAGCTGCGACGGGAAGACCGCCACGCGGTGACTGCGCCCGCGCGCAGCGGCACCGCCCCGCAGTCCGCGCTCCGCCCGTTCCCGACAGGGGATCGCCTGCCCCCTGGCGGCGCCTCTGCGCGCTGCATTTGTGGAAGTCTCTCCGCTCCCCGCGGCGGCCGCAGCCGTGCCAGGGCCGTCAGTTACCCGCAGCCCTTCGTGTGGTGACTCAGCCCGCGCTCCTTAGTTTGATCCCCAGCAAACGCTCTCTTCAGCACAGAAAATACCAAGGGAAAAAGCCCCGACCGACACTATTAACGTCTATTAGTTTTGTTGTAATTTTTTTTTCAAGGTCAAACAGAACAGCATTGAAATTAGAAGCGGTACAAATGACTGAGTAGATTCGGTTTAAACAATTCACTTACAGAGGGTGAAATGCTGAAGAGAGCTTTGTTGACTTCGAAGGTGGTGTGTTTGCCAACGACACAACACGGGATGGAACGAAGCAACGGGAATGCACAGCCCGGACCTGAGGCTGTGCTGACAGCAAATCATACCTCCGTGGAAAACGCTGTTCTGTCCCTTCGGGTCGTCTGAGCCCCCTGCACAGAGCTGGAAGTGCCCTCTGCACCGACCTGAACTGCACGAGTCTTACAAACCCAACCGCGCTTCTGATGCCCGCTAAGGCATGCAGTGTGCCTTCCACAGTCTGCCTTCCTGCTCGGAGTATCACAAGTTAATTAACAACTAAGCAGAATCGTACGCTCAAATTTGCTCCGCTTTATGGAAAGTTGGCGTCGCGCCGCGCGAAGGGGCTGCGCCCGCCGAGATCCCGGCGCTGCCGGCAGGTGACGCCACGAGCCCGGGCGCGGCCTGAGCCGCCCTTAGCACCGCCTGGCGGCGCTGGCGTGGAAGGGCAGCGGGGCGCGGCTGTTTGCCGGCTAGTTGTGGCAGACATCACCTCAACAGCGTGGCTTTGCATAGACATTCTTCATAAGCATCATTATCTGCTCTTTTTTTTTTTTTTTTTTTTCCTCAACAGTTTGCTGGGGAGCAGCAGGGACAGAGCTGACTGTCTCCTCTGCTGCGGTTAAGGGATGGCAATGATTGCAATGCATGTAGCACCTAGAGGTCCCGCTGCTGCACTGCCCAGAGGCGTCACAAGAAGCATTTTGACTCTACTCTAAGCACTTCCCCTTTCCCATCTGTACCTGAGGCCAGCCTACAGAACGATTTGGAGACATTTTTGAACACAGACCTGTGCTACGCCAGCTCCTTTGTGCAGTACTGCACAAGGCTCACAGTTCAAAACATCCAGAAGTCAGACTCGCTCCTCTCGCCTCTTACCCATTCTTATGCAATTCTTCCTGATCCGCGAGACAAGAAGCAGAAGCTGGCTGCAGTTCCTTTGCTGGACTCTCTCTGGCATGGGAAAGTATCAGTGAGTGAGAGAGCTGGAACAGCCACTCCTAGGGCTCCTTCCAAAGCCATACACGAAGAGACGGGGTCCAGAAGCGATGTGTGGGAGGTGGCATATCGTGGCTATCGCACCCAGTTCCTGGGCATTGCAGCCAGCAGTGCAGCCAGATGACACAGACCCAGGAGCTGTTCTCACATGCCAGTGCTCACCATCAACATGTCCTAACTGCTTCCCATGGTGCTCAACACAGGATGAGAGCAGCTGAATAAAAAGTAATTGTAAAGCCAAACATGCAGCCTTTACAGCTTTTACAGAAGAATCTTGTTATTCTTCATCATGGCCCATTCTCCTGCCAACCTCTCTAAAACTGCCTTCAGTTTCTCTTTTCAATGGCAGTATGCAGCACTAAGTTCCAGCTATCTGGCCCCAGCTTCAGGATCACTGAAGAGTTCTTCTTGTTTAGAAGTTTCCAAAATCAATAACTAGCGATCTATTCCTGGGATGTCCTGACACTTGCTAGGGTTCCTTAAAAGGATCAGAATCCTGTTCTGCCAACCATTTTTATGAAAGCCTGGACACTCCAGAAAAAAAGTAATAACGCTTGTCCTGTACCAAATTCATCAAGCTAGGCGATACAGTTACATAGGAAATGCCAGATGACTATGGAGAACTTCTGGAACGCTAGTGGGCAGCAACTTCACACTGTTTTTCAACGGGATATTCATAAAACTGCTCAGAAATAAAGCCCACATCTTCCTGGTTAGATGGCTTCAGTGTGTGCTTTGCAACACCGGGCTGGAGCCTCCAGCTTCTGCTTTTCCACCAGCATTTGTGTGCACTCAGACACTCTCTCCTTTTCTTTGTAGCCTTCATTGCAACATTGCTCCACTTAAATTTGCTCTGACCTCCAATTCACTCTGGAAAATTTCCTGTGCGCTCACACAGTCCCCACTGGCTGGAGGCAGGGGTGCCATCTCCAGGTGTCGCCTCTGCAGCACTGGATAGGGCAAAGAGCAACACGGAGATAAAGGGGGGATTGAGCAACCTGGCACTGCAAAGGCCAAGCGTGCTAGGTCAGAGGTGAGCAGAAAATCAGCAGACAACCAACAAACACCTGAGCATCCCCATGTCACAAGGGAACGAGGGGTCAGGGAGCCCTCCAGGAGGGGGAGGGCTCTGGTCTGTAACAAAAGAACCCAAGGAGGCCTGGAGAAAGCCTGCAACTCGCATAGGAGGTCCCTGACACAGGGGACTGCAATGCAGAGTATCACAGCTGCAGTTTAAGACAGGAAATAGTGTGGATAGTTTGAGTTTTTTATTATTATTACTTTTTAATGTTATAATGAGGCAAAGTCTCGAATCTGGTCTAAGAGCTGGGAGAGATGGAAGGAGAGCCAATCTCTCTTTCAGTTTACACACTGTCCCTGCCAACCTCACTCTGTTCCTGCCTGACATTTCGTAAATTTTATTGTTTATTTATTTTTAACAGTGGAGAACAACGTATGGAAAGCAATAGATTGAAATCCAGCCTCTGCCAGGTACAACTTACAAGTTGGTGCTGGTGTGAGGTGCACGGCTGTATGAAGAGGGACCTGGGGCTGGGAACAAGGAGAAAACAGAGCACACAGCGTGCTCAGAAATAAATTTCAATTTTACTTCTCTATTTCACAGCCTTCACTGCAACATTGCTTCACTTATTTCAAACTTTCAGGCAAGGTCACATCTCGCCCCAAGGTCCTCCAAAGCAGCTCTGTGCTCCCCCCGCCTGCCCACACACAGACACCACTGCTCTCATTCTCCTCTCCAGCTCACTTCCAGCACACTACCAGCAGTGCCTTGTTCAGTGATGCAACTGTTGACTTCTGGCATTATCTTCTTTAATCTTTGCCCCTCTTCTACCTCTCCATGCTTTGCATTAGGCTGCAGTGAGGAGCTGTGTCCACACAGTGCTTAGCATGATGCACCTCTGATCTCACTGATCTGCCAGGAGATACTGCAAGACAAACAACACGCAAGACAAGTCTTCAGCAAGAAGCATCTAAAATTATAGACAGCCTTTTTCTAGAGTACAGACTCTCAGCCCACAGATCTTCTTATAGAAGCTTCAGTGTTTGTTCCGTGACCATTACATTAATATCATCTCCCCTTTGGGCTTTGCTAGTGTCTTTCCAGGACAGCTACTATAGACCTGCAGAGTGGGAATCAGAGAGCCTGCTAGAAATCCTGGAAAAGAAGACAATTTTTAGGAATAATATGTCTCTGCAATGTCTTATCGTAGGTCTGAGCCTGCAGCTGGAAAGCTGTGTCTTTCTACTGTATAAGAGGGAAAATGGAGAGCAGAATTTAATTTGTGACAGAAAAGAGCAGTGAAGATGAGATTCTTCCCTCCACTTTTTCCCCCTTCCCATATTCTTGTCTTACCCCTCCACTATCTATATTCTTTCACATATGAATGAAGAGGAATCTGGATTTTATTGCAGAATTTATTTTTTTTTCAGGAATGTAGATGTTCTCACTAAGTAATTTGTGAATAATGCTGTCTTCTTTCCCCAGCTGAAAAATTAAATCATGAAATCACCAGAAAGAAGGCACTTTTCAGAGAAACGCTGCCTTTCTGCTGAAATTTGCTGCCAAGAGAACTGTTGTGGAACCAATTGCTGCTGCCCCTGAGTTTTTCACTGTGTGATCCCTTCACCAGGATCACCTGCATCTCTTTTCCTATCTCTCTGTGGAAAAGAGTTTTCAGGATGATTTGCAGCCTCTGTACATCAGACCAGACCAGGTCAGCCTGTGGCACCGACAGGGATGGAGCTCGGTGTGCCAAGACCTCCACCCAGCTCTCCATGATGGGAGCTTCGCTCTACACCGTTTCCATTTCAAAAGCCCCATTTCTGGCCATGCATTTGTTATGACAAGTGCAGAAACAATTTAAAAGAGACCAGACTTAGCTCAAAACCTTCTTGCTGAATGTAGGGCTTTGCATGAGTGGTTAGTCCCGCCAACAAGGTTCCCATGAGAAGCTGAGAGCTCCATGAGAATGGATGCTGGGATTTGAGGTGAGCTGGAGAAAGTTTAAAGAGATCCCAGCAGAGCAGGAAGGTGAGTGGGGAGCAGAGAAGGAGGGGACCAGCTGGGCATCCAACCTCAATTACCACTACGGCTGACGTGTGATTCCAGTGACTATGGGATTACTCAGCACTGGCCTGGAAAAGGAGGTGTGGGCCACACCATCTCTGATATAATCTATTTCACATGGCAGTTGCACAGACGTTTTATTTTGTTAGGGAAGATCAGCCTGGGTTGGAGCACAGCTTTTGGATGCTGAGCAGCTGAGAATAGGGCGGAAATTTGGAGAGGGCAAATTCAGATCTCTGAGAATATCTTTAAAAAAAAATGCCCAAGTAATGTAACTGATGGGTTGTATGGCCCGCGTTCAGCCAATGGCTGTGGCAAGTTGGAGACCTGTCAGGGTAATGCCAAGGAGCACCAGAGCCATTTCAGCAGGTGGCAGGAGACCTTCTGCTTGTGGGTTCCTGAGATGTTCAGAGATAGGAAGCACATGAGGGTGAATTTCAAGAGTTCAGTTGCAAGGGCCAGTTAGGGCAGCTGCTGGATGCAACTGCCAGATCAGAACTCAGGATAAGGACACAGCGCAAGAGAGAAAACAGGCAGGAGAACAAGCCCTGGCTCACTGGGACTTGCCAGTATTTGCACCCCATACAGATGTTTGTATTTATGAAGGTATGGGCTCCAACCTCCAGACCCAGACCTCTGGCCAGGCCCAGCTCCAATTTAATCTCTGGTACATTTACCAAAGATTAACTTGGAGATAAAGATAGAACTAGAAATATTTGAAGCCCAAAAACCTGTTGGGGTACTTTTGTTATGGAAAGCAAAACCCTCCTGAAACGTGCAAAGGAAATGTAGATGCAAAAATACAAGAAAGAAAAAGTCCAGTGATCCACCGACACATTTCTGAATTCTTCCTCTTTTCAAAGTTCTGAGGTTTGAACATTATGAACAGTTGACTGTTTGAATCGTATAATGCAATACCTGTTCCTCTGGCTTAACGTTACCATATTTCCCACACCGCAGGATTGCTTCACATTATTCTAAGAGGCAGTGTCATTTTCCCTGCAGTGCTGGGTCTTCTTTACTGAGGCGAAGGACACTCCTACTTCCTTTAATTATATGTTTTGTTTTAAATTAAGTCCTTTATTCTGGGGATGAATCACCAGCTTGTAGACAGGTAAATGTGGGAGTAAGAGAGTGAAAATATAAGTTTGATTCCCAAGGTGGGTGTCTTTAATTAAAACGGACATCGAGATTCAGTCTTCCTTCCCAAACTTACCCCGCGATTCTGAAAATGCCTGGATTCCCTGGTTCTGAGCACGTCTCTTTCAGAAATTTAAACACGGTCCCCTCTGGCTTCAGAGCGCAGATTCCCTGTCGCCTTTGTACTCTGACAGTTGCGCCGTATCGTGCAAAGTAAATAAACCAAGGCAAACTTCAGTCACCGTCCCTGCATGCAGAGATGGGGAGCGGAGCTCGGCGGCTGCTCGGCTCAGACTGCTCGCGGCCGTCAGAAGGCAGCCGGGAGCACGCTGTGCTCCAAACTGCGCTCACTTGGCTCTCTGCTTGCTCTTGTAAAATGGTTCTGCACACGTCTGTATTGGACCGTTCTGCCTGCCAGTGCGGTTTACTCAATCAGGCACTGGACGGAGAGTAAGAGGATCGGTCTCCTATCTGCAGCTTTTTCCCCTGCTTTGGTAAAAGAGCTTGGAAAAACGCTTTCCGCCTCGATTTCCCCAGGGCTAAAACGAGACCCAGACAGGTTTCGCACCCACTTCTGCGGGGCACACGCAGCCTCACAGCGCCAACCCTTCCTTTTAGACACAAAAGGCCCGGCCTTGCGCTGGCAAAGCCGCGTCCCGGTCTCGCAGCCGCTCCGGGCCGAACGGTGCCCGCGTTCCCCGCAGCCGAGGGACCGGGATAGACGTGAAGTCCTGGCGGCCTCGCTGCCGGCGGCGGCGGCTCCGTGCGGTCCCGTTCCCGCGTCCTGCAGAGCGGCGCCTGGGCCCGCACCGCACCCGCACCCGCAGCCGCAGCCGGCGGCGTCCCGGGGGCCGGAGCGGTAGCTCCGAAGCGTGCAGCGTGGCATGCGGCCAGGCGATGACGCGCCTGTTGCTATGGGATCCACCGCCCCTATAAATAACCGAGCGAAGGAACTTTCCTAAGTCAGAGACTTGAGGACACGGGCCCCGCAACCAGATGGTCCGCAGGAGAGCCGCCAGCTCCAGCCGCAGCTCCGGGAGCGGGAGAGCCCCGCCGCGCCGCACGGACTGAGCCGCCCGGGCGGGCAGCGCAGCGGGGCCGTGCCCAGCGCCGGGCTCGGGAGACCTCCACCCGACGGCGGCCGCTCGATCCCGTGCCGGGGGGGCCCCCCGCGCCGTCTTCTCCTCCCCGCATCCCCCTTTGCTTTCATGCAACGCCTGGTGGCCTGGGACGCAGCATGCCTCCCCATTCAGCCGCCCGCCTTTAAATCCATGGAAGTGGCTAATTTCTATTACGAGGCGGACTGTCTGGCTGCTCTCAACAAGCTGCACCCGCGGGCGGCCGGGGGCCGCTCCATGACCGAGCTTACCGTAGGGGACCACGAGAGAGCCATTGACTTCAGCCCCTATCTGGACCCCTTAGCAGCATCCCAGCAGCCGGCGCAACCGCCGCCTCCCGCAGCAGCAGCAGGGGGCAACTTTGAGCCTGCCTGCAGTAGCGGCGGCCAAGATTTCCTTTCCGATCTCTTCGCCGAGGACTATAAAGGCAGCGGCGGCGGCAAGAAGCCCGACTACACCTACATCAGCCTCGCCCGGCACGGCCACCCGTGCGGCAGCCAGAGCCACAAGCCGGCGGGGCTGCCGGGCTGCTTTCCGCCCCAGATCGTGGAGACCAAAGTGGAGCCTGTCTTCGAGACCCTGGACTCTTGCAAAGGGCCCCGTAAGGAAGAAGGGGGAGCGGGGCCGGGACCGGGGGGCATGTCCTCGCCCTACGGCAGCACCGTGCGCTCCTACCTGGGCTACCAGTCGGTGCCGAGCGGCAGCAGCGGGAACCTGTCCACCTCGTCCTCCTCCAGCCCCCCCGGCACCCCGAACCCCTCCGAGTCCTCCAAGTCGGCCGCCGGTGCCGGGGGCTACTCGGGGCCGCCGGCGGGAAAGAACAAGCCCAAGAAGTGCGTGGACAAACACAGCGACGAGTACAAGCTGCGCCGGGAGCGGAACAACATCGCGGTGCGCAAGAGCCGCGACAAAGCCAAAATGCGCAACCTGGAGACGCAGCACAAAGTCTTAGAACTGACGGCCGAGAACGAGAGGCTGCAGAAGAAGGTGGAGCAGCTCTCCCGGGAGCTGAGCACCCTCAGGAACTTGTTCAAACAGCTTCCCGAGCCCCTGCTCGCCTCCTCGCCCCGCTGCTGACCCCCGCGCCGGGCCGCGGGGCGAGCTGAGCGCTGCCCCCCTACGCCCTCCTCCCGGGACCGGGCTGCGTTTTCGGTTTCGTTGGGGGTTTCGTTGTTATTGTTGTTTGTTGTTGTTTCGGTCTCTATTTGCTTCCCCCCTCTATCCCCGGGGCCAGGGGGCGGCGGGCGGCGCGGGGAGGGGGAGGGGGAAGGCCGCGGCCCCGGGGCTCTGCTGGGCGCTGGGGTTATTTAAAACGGCGAGAGGAGAGCGAGGGTGAAGTGATGCAATCCTTTAAGCATGGCTGGGAATGCTGTGTACATGATGCAATCTCGTGTAACTGTCAGTCATGGATTGAGTAATCTGTTAAAGATGTTCCTACAGTTTTTTTTTATTATAAAGAATAATCTATTTCTATAAGAAAATACATATGTATATTTTGGGATCTATGCATTCTTGCTACATTTGAAGCATTAATGAACGATTTTAATAAACTTTATGACTAGGTTAAAAAAAGTAGCTTGTTTTATTTTGAGGGTACATTTCAAGTCAGATGAAATGCAGGGCTGACATTCCAGCTGGATCTGGCTCGGTGCTGCCAGCAGGGATAGGGCTCGCGTTGGTCTTTTGGCTTTCTCTGTGACTGAGAAAAACAGAAACAAAAACCCCAGGAGAAACCCAGCAAAGAGCAGAGCTGGAGGCTTCAACCAGTCTTCACTGTCTCATTTTGGTTCCTCTAATCACTTGCTTGAGCTGCCTCTTGGGTATTGTCTGGGAAGAGGTGTTTGTTTGGGGTGGTGTTTTTTGCATTTCTTGCTGTTCCCAGTGTGCAGAGCGAGGTGTGCTGTCCAAACCATGACTGATCTGGTGAAGTAACTGCAAGGCTGAAGTGGGAAGAAAAAGTGAGGGAGGAAGCTTTCACTTAATTTTTTTTTTCTTCAAGGAGATTCTGCTCTCTGAATTATGATTCAGCATGTCTTATGTTTGTAGTTTACAGGAATAAACATGGGAAAGTAGTGCTTCTGTTGGATGTCGGTAATGTGGTCCCTGCTCGGAAGCTCTCGCGAAAGCCACCAGGTGAGAGGCACCCCAACAACCCCTTGCCTTTGCTCTTGAGATGTTCTTCTCAAACCTGTAGCTAGAGTTTCTCTGTTGAGAGGCGTTTGTTTCTGTGTGTCTGTTAGCTGGGGGAAAGCAGCAGATGAGTGGGGATGGCAGCAGGCCCTGTTGGGCTATAGATCGGGCTGGAGCTTTGTTCTGCCCGCTGATGGAAAGCTGCGCTGCTCCCATGTCCTGCGTGCTGCTGCCAGAGCTCTGCGAGCGGCTCAGAATCCCGGGCTGGGTGTGTGCGCGGGGCTGAGAGAAGGACTGGGTCTTACTCAGCGTGTTCCATTTTCCTCTTAGGCCAACTTTAAGCACCATGTTTTAAAATCCAGATTCCCAGTGCCCCAAATAGGAACTCCTTAATCGTCTGTGCTGAACTGAATCCAGAGGAGCTTTTCTGTACCAAGAGAGTACTTGAATTTGCTGCAGGCAGGGCAGGGTTCCAGGACAAACCCCGAGTCTGTCACTTATTCCCAGCGTTCCTTTCAGCAAAGCATGTTTCCTACTGAAAGAGCTGCTGTGCATTTTTGACACTTGAGATCCTATCTTTCCCTGGCAGGTACAACTCCGAGAGCTCTCAGGGAGATCCGCCATGCTCTGCTCCCATAGTGCTCCAATGGAGCCGTGCAGCAGGGAGCAGGGAAGCGTTAGACGCGATACAGATTTCCACTGTTTGCTTTTTAATTTGTGCACTGCAGTTAAGTTGGTTTTATGAGACCCTATGAATAGATTTCTTGGGTGAGCAAGCTCCTGCATGACTCAAATTCTCGCAGGCAAGATAGACGTTAGATCTTGTCTTGGCTGTCCCTTGTGACGCTGATTTCTCCAGCCTCCTGTGGCTGTTTATTCTACTATTCTTCTAGTTACGAAACTTATCCACATCGTTAGATCCCATTTTCGTGTTGTGCTGTAGGCCATGTAATGTTACCCACACTTACGAGCAGCATTCCCAGTCAGAGCTGAGTGCTGCCGAGGGTAGAATTGCTGGAGGACTGGAGATGTCCTCAGACATATTTCTGTATTTCTTTCTTTCTTTAAATGACAGAGCTTCCAACAAAAGTTCAGTTTATGAGGGCTGGGAGGCAGAGTAGATTGAAAGATAAGATATACTAGAGGTATTTATATTTGTTTGAGTAATAATCCAGTTTCGGAGCTAGAGCTCTGTCGGGCACGAATGAGCTAATTCCTGTCCTTAAACTGCTTGAGGAGTTGGGGCAGTGTTGCTGCTGTGATTTAAAGAACATTAAAATTACTGCTGTATACCAGTGTATCTCTTTATTTGGATGAAAGATTCTTCATTGAGGGGGAAACTCATGCAGCAGCAAGTTTTTGTCAGACAGATGCAGTTAGACAGGATAACTGATGAGCACTGGTGTTACACCAATCTCAGAAGGAATTGGAAAGAGCCAGAGAATTTCTGAATACTTCGTTCTTAATCTTATATTGCCTACAGAGCTTACATTTTCAGAGCTTTCTAGCTCAATGCATGGAGGCCATGAGATACCCTACTTAATGAACAAAGATATGAAAAAGCCCCCAGAGTTAAAACACTTCCTAGGGAAAAAAGAAAAAAAAGAAACAAAAAGAAGAAGAAAATAATTTGGAAATGAATCTGAGCACTAATTCTAGTACTAAAGCAGACAAAAGATTTCAAATACCTTTTCTAATCACAGTGGTGGAATTGGAAAATCCCTGTCCGAACAGTGGCTCTGCTCCAAACGAGGAAGCCTCCCATTGCAAATAAGATCCTGTTAACTGAAAGCAGTACCAGGTGCACCCCAGTTGTCTCCTCACCAGGTCTCTTTTGCTTATTTTCCTAAGGTGATTCTGTACAATGTGTGGTAAGACTTCACAGCTTAGATGCAGGGAAACCCTGCAGGGAAGTTAAGGCACTTACTCTGGGAGTTTGTTTTTAATTTATGGAGGCTTACAAAAATCATTTGGTTTGGGCTTTTTATTGCCTTTCAAATTATTTATGACACCAACTGATTACTGCAGGTCTTCCTCATTACTGCTGAAATCAGCGTTCTTTTCTATGCAGAAACTGTGCTGCCAGATCAAACCTGCAGCACTGACTTCCCATTTCCAAAGCATCTGATGCTTTGCTGATATCCGCTGAAGAAATCGTATGTACCACTTGAAACTGAAAGAACAAGCAACACCATTACAATTTTGGCAGCAGTTCTTCTGTTAACAGACTGCTGGTCACTGCCTATCTGCCCAAGCACATACAGGAGATGCTGCGTGGCAGTGCTCTGACCCTCGTACCACTGCTGGCCCTCAGAAGGTGCAGGACAACTGCCTCAGTTTCTATACAACTTTTTTCTCTTCTATCAAATACAAGGGTTCAAATTGCACACACAGTCCAAAGGTGATTGGAATGGAGGACTCAATTGCAATTGGTTACATTATGTTTTTTAATTTACTCCTGCAATAGCTTTCATATATCAAAATTACAATCTGAAAAATAGCTGTGTGAAGTGTTTACCTTTACAATTTCATTGCTAGAACAGCTGTTATTGATGTGGATGCATGAAAACAAAGTTATTCTCATGCTACGTAGTTTTCAAGCACTGTTTCATTAGCTGTGACAAGAATAAAAGTCAGTGCAACTTAGTATCTGCTTTAATAAAGAAAAAATGTATATGAGGCCAAATTACACATCTTCTCTGGCTATTTATAATACCACTGAAGCAATAATAAGTATTAGCTTGCATTTTCTGGCATTCACAGCAACACAAGGGAGTCTAAACCACCAGCTGCACTCAGTCTGTTTGGGTCACAGGTGCTTATCTGGGGATGGGGTCATGATTAACATCTTTTGTGTTTAACCATGCATATGCCTAGCAGTCAGAACTTTAGGGCAAAACTTATGTACTAATGTGAAGTATGGAGAAAAAATTAAACCTATGCATGAACATTGAAAAGGTCCTAGCACAATCAAAGAATCAAAACAAAAGTAGGAATTTAGTTAACTCCTCCCAAAGATACAATTCTGTTCTATTTCTGAATACATTTTTAAATTGCTCATGAAAGTCAGAATAGAAGCACGAGGCCAAAAATGTACGTTAACTATGGGAGGGAATTGGTTCTTCTTTTGAGAGAGACTTCCTGAGCTGATGAGTGATTAAAAGAATGGATCTCTGTGTAACTGTTTGCTGGGACTGAAAACATACTCTGAGAGCTTCATCTTTTCAACACATAGCTAAACTGTGGTACAAATTCTGAACTCGGATAACACCCTGAGATTCTCTGAGGTTCTGATTCTTCCATAGGGACTAAGGGCACTCCATGGGCAGTGTGTAAGAGCTTAGAAAGATCAGGTATGGCTTTTGACTGATGTCAGGACCATGTAAGATTTCTGATCCAGAACTACATGGAATTCCGAGGGAGCTTCTCTTTGCAGTGATACTGGATGGACCCTGTGGCTCTGAAACACAACCACTGCAGCATTTCATTGCTGAGCCTTAGTAAAGAGCTCTCAGGGTCAGCACATCTCTAACTCTGATTTGGATAGTTTTATCTACTGGGAACTAAAACCCCTCCGTGACCATTTTCCCTCCTGTTTCAATGTAATAAAGCTCTCCCTTCCACTCCTGAAAATGTAGGTGGCTGGAACTGGATTTACGTGAAAAACAACAATAAGGGTAGAAATTCAACACTGGATAAATGGGTTAATAGTTGCTGAAGCTAATTGATTTGCACTTACAATAGGACACACCTTCTGACTGATTGTCACAGTTCTACAGAGCAGAGCCAAATTTAACCCTCATTTGCTTTAAAACCTTCACAAATCTGGTGTGTTCTAATGATATTTTCTAGCCAATTACAGTCAGCATCACTTTTTTGCCTTGTCCTATCTGCTCATGCCTCTGGAACTCACACATTACGTAGCTATTACAGTATTTCCTCAGAGTTCAGGGTACTTAAACAGACGTTTAATTTGGGTCTCAGAATTTCATCCATTTTGCAGAATAACAAATCCTCCACAAACTCACACATTCCCTCTAAAGCACCTATAGGGGTGCTGGCTTTGTCATCAGACCTTGTTTTAATTGTCTTGAACATCACCCCAGACAAAGAACTGCATTTTTGACAGAGAAGCAACGAAAGTTTATGGTCCCCATCGCCACATAAAACAAGCGCAGCAGTTGTTTTGTTTTCTATAAATACCTCGTGTTTGCTAGCGTATTGCAACAGCATTTCATTAAGCCTGTGGTAGGTAGCTCATTGATGTTGTCTAAAAATTGCAGCAACAGGAATCACAGTCTCCTTCAAAGAATGCAAAAATCCCTCTCAGACCTCAGCCCTGGGCTGCTCTCCTCCCACAGCCCACCTGCAATCTGGGCCCGCAGAGCTGCGCGAGCCCGAGTTGTTTTTGTGTAGATGAGAAGCGTTGGATTTAGAAATGAATGTCACAGTGACACTACAGCAAAATGTCTCTGTGCAACATGATGAAACAATTACTTGGCTGGAGTAATTCAGGAAGGGAATCAGAAGGACAAGAGAAAGTGCCTGGAGCCTGTTGGAGAAGCAGGAGGAGAGCAGTGGTGGCCAGCAGCAGGAACATTGTTCTGCTCATTCCTCAGCCTCTGCATCCGACAGCGAGTCGGGGGTGGTGCTTCTGGCTGTGATGTGCCACCTTCCATGAACATAGGTGTCTTACTGAGTCTGTCTCTGCTGTTCTCTGAAGATGAGAGTACAGAAAGCAAGCGCAGAATGCCGTTCTCCAAGATACGTGTGTCTGACGTTTAAATGTACAGGGAGCACAACAAAAAAGTGGGATTAACTTGGCACAATGAGATGAATAAATTAACAAAAAAAGCTGTAATTATCAAGGAGTTTGGTTTCTAAAGGAAAACAGGGTGGACTGCAGCCACTGCGCTTCACTTCCACACGAAGCCCAGCTCCTCACATTGCTCTGTAGTGATGTGCTCCTGATGACAATTCCTGGTGGCAGAAAATATTCCCATCCTTTGAGTTAAGAATTAGTGCTGACCACTGGGATGGATCCCCAGACCTGAGGGACTGGGGGAGGACGCACAAGGCCTTCAGATATGACTTCAGCCATTGGGTTCACAGGATCCTCACACACTTCGAAAGCAACTTTTATAGCTGCAGAGTTAATGAATGCAGAACACTGTCAGAAATTAAGCATCAAGGAACAAATGAGCTTTAGCAAAAGCTCAAGAATAGGAAGGCAGTTTCTGGTCCTGACTCTTTCACCAGTTTATCATATTTCTTTAGATTGCTAGTTAGCTCCCAGCTGCAATAGAAGCTGTACACACATATGTGCATCTCTAGTTATAAGTGCAGTTGCCATAGCTGTATTTGCCTATTATATTTTTTAGATCTTACACGTGTGCTTTGTTGTATACAAGTAGCTGTAGTTTTCAGTGGAACAATTATCACTCGCATGAATAATGATAAATTCACAGATCCATATTCACATGAATCTGTGCATGGATCTGTATATACATCGATCTGAGATCAGTGTTTCTGGGATGTTTTTAATGCATTTTACAGCACAAGCCTAGCAAATTTTGAGTATTTTCATGATGTATATTCCATTTCTCCAGAGCTCCCCAGTCACGTGGGCTGACTCAGCTGTCCATTCCCAAACAAAAGGCAGTGATAGAGGCGTCCGCATTTCTCACTTCCCAGGAATACAAAAAAGCAAATCCAAGTAGGGAGGTACCGGCTCTTTCAGCCATTGGGCCCCAACACAACAAAGCACTTGGGTGCAAATTCTGCCTGAGTAGAAACGAAGCAATGCAGAGCACAAGCTTTCAAATTTTGGATATGCCAAGTACTCTCCTGAAATACAACTTCCAGAGTTCCAGACATAGCCACCTAGCCTCTGGATTATGGCTGTGATGCAGCTGTGTCACAGGTGTTAAGTCCTGGGAAAGAAAGCATGGCAGAAAACCTGGATGTTCAAAAGATGGTGATGTGATGCACTCAAACAGGCCAAAAGAAATCCTAATCTCCTTCCAGTGTACAGAAGGCCCATTTGCTATGTGTCCTGGACAGGACTGGCAAGCCACTGCTACAGCAAATGGTGTTAGCACCTGGCTGGTGATCAAAGGGTTCTTGAGCAACATCCCACTCCACATCAGTAGGAGCTGCTGCCAAGAACCATGGACATCTCTGGGCTGGGAAGGCAACTGATAAAGCACATGCTGCGAAAAGCAATGGTGCAAGCATTGGGCAAGCTGAGCTCCACTAATGGCTACTGGAAAATGTTACTTTTATTTTAGTTCTGCAGTTGCATAAGGCAGATTCACTACAGACTCACACAGTGTTTGCACAGGGTGTTTTGTCGTTGGTATTGTTGTTTTTTTTAACGGCATTTATTTAGATGAGCAGACACTCTCACTTCACAGGAGAAAGCCAGTACTCCTTGGTACTTTTCTTCCTCTGTCAGTAACAAATATGGGTCAACTCCAGAATTATCTCCTGTGCACTTAGCTGTAAAAGAAAAGGCACTCAGAGTGGCAATGATGCAGTCAGATCTGTTGTAATACAATCCTATGTCTGGTTGGTGGGGATACAGTTCACAAGGTTGGCAAATTGGGAGAAAAAAAAAAAGAGTACAGGGCAAATTTCCATGGAGCAAAGATGTTTTAAAAGAAGGAAGTGATACCAACAGTACATGGTTCTAGGAAGGCTATTGCAAGTCATGGCAGTGATGGGAACTGTTTCCGACAGACAGGATAGGGGCACTGAACTGTTTTCCTACTGACCTCATGGCCAGATGAAGTGAAAATCCTACTCTAGTTTTTTTTGCCAAGTTGTTTAAGGTAAAACCTTGGCAAATGGCTCCTGCTTTTGCATTAATTCACTAGCAGGTGCTCTTCTGCATGATCCCTGCAAGAGCTTTATTACCAGAGTACACTAACTATTAAACAGCCATAAGCTTAATCCGGTATTTACTGTAGGACTGTGCCTTTTTATTGCACGCAGGGAGGGAACTCCCTTCTCAGCCCTCCAGGTGGTCCCTTCAGGGCAGGGTTGAGGCACATCGGTGAGAAGAGGTGGGGTTGGGTGGAAGAGGCTTTCTTTGCTGCCCTACCTGTTCTGGGCATAAATTGAAATGATCAGATTTTAATCCTGCCAATTAGGCTTTCTTTACTGGCATTGGAGTCAGTTTACTATACAAGTGAAACTATGTTTCTCTTAAAAAAACAAAAAAGAGGTAAAATTCTGCTGTAAAATTCTGCAAGAAAGAGCAGGGCAGCACTCTTCAGCTCTGTGTAGCTCAGGCAAAATCTCTCCTGGCACATTTGTGTACCCTCTGCCAGTTGTGACTGTTAAGGAGCTCACAGAGCAGGGCTGGAGGATGTAGTCTGCACTCCTCCACAGCACCCCCTTCTCTGCCATAATTCTACTTCAGCATTTAGTGCAAGATTAGATGTGCAAAAAAAATAGCATATGCTCTACCTGTCAACAAAGCTCCATCTACCCGGGAGAGAAAAACACAATGCCTGTTACAAGACTGCAAAACTGCTAATCTAAGAAGTACCTGTGCTCTCAAGGCAGTATCTTGTATATCTCCTGATCAGCAGATGCCTATAATGAAGAGGGCCTGTTGGTTCTATTGCTTCCTGGCTTCTGGAGACCTAAGGCAGACATTGCTCTGTTCCTTGCATGCTGCTCCCATTTTTAGGGTTATCATTACTACAAAGTCCAGAAATTATAGGATTGGTTTTCATCCTCAGTGATCTTTCCAGCAAGTACTTCTGCCTATGAAAATACAGCAGGCAGAACCTGGTTTCATCACTATCTGTATTAAAGAAGAAGGTGGGTGCCATCTCCCAGCAGTCCCATACTCCTTTCTTAAGGACCTTTCTCACCACTTTGGCATACGGGCTTTGATGATCTACACCAAATGTTTCAGACCTTTGCATCCCTCACTTGCTCCAGAACAGGCTTTATGCTGAGAATGGTTTCTCATTGGCACTTGGGTAGGAAGTGAAGAGCACAAATGGGAAAATTATCCATGTCAGAAACATTTAATATTGCATAAAGCTGGCCCGTGAGGAATGCTGCCTTTTACTCTTTGATGTCCTGGGAACTCTGACTCAACCTCCTGCATCCACAGCTTATAAACCTCCACAGTGTATTACCAAATGACTTCGGCACAAATTTAGGACAGAAAAGCCCACTTAATATAACCTTCTTTATAAATGTGGTTCTACGTTCTTCCCTCCTGTAGCTGCTACTGCGTAGTAGGAGGCAATGCAACACCACTGTAGAGGGGAGGAGGGAGGTAAACGTGACCACCTAATAGGCATTTCACAGCACTCACTCTCTGAGCTAATTTGTGCTCTCCTGCAGCCTCCCTGCAGGGATTAAACATTAGCCAAGAACCACAGGAAGGCTCTGATCAGACTACACAGCCTAACAAGCTGATGGGCTTCGGTGTGGTACAGCAAACTGCACTGATTCTGTGCTTGGTATTCCAGATAGCTGCATTTCAGCCACTGCTACAAAGACTCTGCACCATATAAGTAGGTAGGAATGATAACCAAGTGAGTCTGGAGCAAGGAAATTAAAGTCTCGTCTCTGGCATCGATGAAAACTTGTTTCTCGGACAAGATGCTTCACCTTTGAATACTTCAGTTCTGCTGTCTGCAGAAAGGTATTTCCAGGGTATGGGGGACCACAGGAGGGTGTCTCAGGTATCAGTTGTTTAAAAAGTGTGAAATACGAGATGAGACATTCACAAAACCATACATTAATTACTTAAAGTCCGTATCAAATGCTAAAAATAAAAACAAATTCAGCAGGGAAAGCTCTGTTATTTTGTAGCGCATTCTCTTTAGATCAGTCTTCTGGTGGCAATGACTAGAAGCACAGCTGTCCCTCACTCTGAACACTTTCCAGGCAGAAGCACGGCCACACAGAGTTTAGCTTATTATGTATGTAAAACAGGCAGGTGCTATTAGAAAGTCATTTTTCTGACCCAGTGAGTACAGAAGGTTTTTCCTCACGATGAAGTCCTCTTCAAGGGCTGTGTTTTTATCATGCCTCACACCTTTCAAGGTATTTGAAATGACCCTTGTCTTTGACAGTATATATTCCTGATATTGCTGGCTATCGCTGCAGTTTTTTTGAGCACGTGAAAACATGCTGTTCAGGGACAACATGTCTTGATAATAAACCATCCATGTAATTAGGCTTGACTCACCAATCAACTCAGAAAAGGATAGAATGGAACTCATGAAAGCACCTTTAAAGGATGATGGAAATGTTTAAAGAGAAAACAGATTAGAAATTTTGTACTGTTAAGTATTTTGCAGGGTAGAAAATTAATTAGCAGTGACAAGAACACACAATTCTGGACTGCCCATGTGTGGCCCATTCCATCCTGCTTTGCTCACAGCGACTGAGCTGTGCAGGAGTCGGCGCGGTGGGACTGAGTTCAGTGCCTGACTCATGTGAGGAAGCACCATGGAGGGAAATTTCCTCTTGAGCTGAGGCCAGGCGACCAATGGCAAAATCTGGTGACGTAAAATTTGTATGCAAAAAAAAAAAAAAAAAAATCCCACATTTTTGTGTATTATTATTTCTAAATCTTCACTTTTTCCTCTAGGAATTTAATTATTTGAGATGAGATGCTAAAAATGTGCCTCCAATAAGCTATATAAATCAAAAGTCTGCATACATCCCAGACTGATGATCTGAGAAACCTGGAACCTTTCTGCACGTACCATGAAGGGAACACACATTTCCAAGATCTTTGTGAAACAGAAATAACACAGCAGGCCCGCTGTGCCCAAGGCCCAAGCACACACAAAGTTACCACAGCCAAATCCAGCTCTGCCCAAGTCTGGGCAAAAGGTCACTAAGAATTAGGAAGCAAACTACTGAGTTACCAGCAGTGCAGTGGCAGAATCAACTCCCACGGATTGGCTAAGTCAGTGGGATAGCACCCCTGGCTATTGGCAGCTTTCTTCTCATAATTAATGTTTATTAAGGTGGTCATCTCCAAACTAAACAAATGCAAAGTTCGATTACTAATATAAAATATATCTACAAGATTTATATAAGAGTATTGCAAAATATTAAATAATAAAAGCTGGTACTGAACAACAACAGGAAAACTCCTAACTCTGCAACACGCTTCTTCTCAAACAGACAAAGCCTGGCTATTTTCAGGAAATTACATCCTGAGTGGTGACAGTATTTGCTCTGTGCACTTGATGTGGGAGATAGGGGATATGGCTGGCACACACTGCCTAAATCTGACAGTAAGGCCAAAGCTGGCACTTAACTACATGAATCACCAACTTCTGAAATTTAAAAGCTTGCATATGCAAATCACTCATTAAAAGCATTAGCATAGTCAGTTACCCAAACTGTAATCTTAATCGTATCTCCAAGTTAGGCATGCAATCACACACCCATTTTTCAGATTTGCATTTGTGAGTGTGGTTTCCTGAGAGCTGCATCCACAAAGCAGTCTAATAACCATTTTTTCCTTATATAGTTCCGGGAAAGAAAAAGAAGAGTAAAAGAATACTGAATGTCTTCCTCCCCTGAAAAATAATGGGGAAGTTTACAAAATCAGGAACCGATGTGGACAGACCAAATGGGCCAGATGGTGAGTTATGTGCACTCTCATTTAATCCAGTGCCCATCTTTGTGACTCCTTTCACCCAAGCAGTGTGGCATTTCCCTCTATTTGCAAATATTCAGACACAGGAAAAGACTATGTGCCAGATTTTGGCTTTATTTACATTGAATTACCTGAGATTAGAATCTGAAACTAGAAACTTTCTTTATACAGTTACAAATAGCTATATTATGCCATTTTAAGGGGTTAAGAAAAGGAGGAAATCGTAACCACAGAAGTTATAAAGGCAACTTATCCCTAGCCAAATAGTTTTGTTTCTAACGCAGGGCTTTAATTATAACATGTCATATAATGATGACATAGTGCTATAATAGGCAAATATAATGCATTAATCTGATATTATATTTTGGCTTTAACAATAGGTGCAGTGAACCAGCCTTAGTGGATAACTCATTCAGAACCTATCTGCACACTCCACCTAGATACTTATCTGCCTCTTTAATTAAGTGGAGGGAAACTTCTTGAGGCCATACCCATAAAGCCAGTCTCTGATGATAGCAGAGTTACTGGAAGCCTTTGGTAATCTCTTACTCCCACGTATTGTGGTTAGCTTCCAACTTTGGCTCTTTCCTTCTTGTTTTGGAACTACCTATTTATCCCCTAGTGTAAATCCCCTGGTGTTTTTGTACCATAGTGGTAGAAAAGACCCTCAGTGGGTTTGTTTGAGCATGTCAGCATACCGCCATTGGTCTCACCAGGACTGCACCAACCGTCCTAATTGTAGTGGTGAAGAAAAAAGAGTTTTGGCAGGTTTTTCTCCTACTAGTGTATTTCTTGAAACAGTAACACCAGGCTCCATCAGTGAACACAGTACAGACAGTGTCACCTTTCCAAAGAGCAAGTTTCCCAGCCTGTCCTCAGCACATGCTCATGGCAATGGAAGAGCCCTATAGCAAGTGTCTTCAGTGGAAACCAGTTTGGGTCTCCTGTTTCCACGGATCTCATGTAACTTTGTGCATGTTGGAAAACACCCTCTTTGCTTCCTAAAGCATAAAGTGCTTGTAGGACTCACATGCTAAGCCAGAAATCAAATTTTAACCTATTAGTTTGGAGAAAGTGGCTCTCTGAGATGCAGTGTTTGCTTTCTGCTAGGAGTTTTTGAGTGATCTTGTTCTGAGGCAGCAATATACAGAAATCATAAAGATCCAAACTGTGGGCCATGTAAGACAATTTTCTGACATAACAGTAGTGTAACAAGTCCTATAGTCCTCATATCAGAACAAATACAGCTGCCATGAGGCTCCGATATTTCCGTACTAGCTAAGCAAGCCATACAGGATGAACACAACTAAAATGGCTTACCACCTCCTTTTCCTTTTTCTTTTCTTCTGCTGTGCACTTCCTTACTCTCCTCCGACCTTCTCCAGTATGAGAAGCTCTGCTAATGACCTCTGAGCAGATCATGTTGAGCTCCTTAATCTTACGGTGGCGCCTAGATAATATGGTGATGGGTACTGAAATGCTGAAAAACAGACAGACAGATAGTTAGATAAGATTAGATACGTAAGTAATTTACTCAGTCATCATACAGAGCAGCTGACATAAGTTCATTTGTAAAGGCAACTGCTAAAACTGCTTTAGAAGTCCGTACAATTTAATTCTGTTGAAAGACAGACCTTTGATCTGAATTGTTTTGGTGGCATATACATTATTTGAATGGAACCTCACCTGACCAGGTAATATCAGACTGGTCATTCCTGGCATACTATTGTCATAGGAGAACAGTGTACATGCAAATCCATACCTACTGATAGCTCAAGGGCAGATGGATAACTGAGCATCATGGAACAGGTATAGACTAAAATCATGATCACCACCTTGTGCTGATATGCAGAATGAATCACAGCTAATAAAAGGCTCAAACAACCTTTATACGACAAAATGTAACCCCAACAACACTTTTAAATTAAGCATGCCCATAAAATAAAAGGAGATAAATTAATAAATGTTATTGCTTCTCATTTTCATTAATATTTATTAACTTGCACTGGTGGAAGATGGAGAAGGAGGAGAAATAAAACACCTGTCAGATTCTCTACCACTTATAAGCAGTTCTATATTCCAGCTCTTAGGTACCAGCTAAACATTTTGATGCTAGTGTTACATTCCTTGCAGGGCAAATTATTTGCATTCACGTGTTTTTTGTTTTAATTAAACATTAAAAAACTTAAGGACACTTCCTGGGGCAGGCTATTTTTGAAGTGGGTTATTTGTTTTAACTCCAAATCTGAAGGCATGCTTGTATTCCTGAATAGGGAAGGAGTAAGATGGTTAACATAGAAGCACAGGCCCATTATCCCATGTTTCCCTGCATGGCACTGACCCCAGACACTTTGCAGACACTTTGCACCACTAAGTCCCACTAAAGTCGAAACAGCCAAGTGCATGGATGAACCATAGATAAATGGCAGCATGACTAATTCATGATGGATGAAGCTCTCAGAATATTCTGTGGTTTAATTAGAATAGGAATTCAAAAAGTACAAACGCTAATCCAAACCTATAATGATGGAAGTCACCCTCTAGAGCAGTTCACTCATTCTGTTTTTAATATAGCCTGACTGCAGTTGGGCTTGAACTGCTGTCCAAACAGCAGCTGTCACAAGTAGATTCCCTCTTTGATTTCCTCTTTTGTTCTCACTCAAAATCAGTAATTGCAGATATGCAGACAAATCAAATGACTGAATAGCAGTCTTCAGACAGTGCTTGCCACACTGTCTTTGTCCTTCTGTGACTTTTTACTTCTGCACATCCTTGGCTCAAGGATTGGATTAATTTTACCTAACTATTAAAATCTCTGTTTCCTCAATGTTTGGAAAGCTCAATCTCTTTTTGAAGGTGTACGTCTCTTGCCAGGGACTACTGTGAAGGAACTCCAGTCCTCATTTGAGCATCGCATTTATTTGCCTGTACTTTGGAAGGATCAAGGTCCAGCTGTGTTGTGAAATGTCTGATGTTGCACTATCTCCCTGAGCAGCACCCTGCTCTCATGGGTAGTCCATTCAAGGTTATTTCAAGTCAGCTTCACTGCACATTGGTGTGTCACAGTGGGTTGAAATGCAGGAGAACTGATTTTCTAGACTCTCCACTGTCTCACATTCACATAGTCAAAACTTGCAGCAAGTCCACAGGGTGTGTAAGATCCTAGCTGGCACATTTGGAAGTGTCAGGCTCCCCGTCTGCATGATTTAAAAGCAATGGAGGACTAGGCCAGTGGCAACAACAATTATAAGCCAAATGTCTGCATAAGCAAATATTGGACTTGCTATGCGTATATTTGACATCTGCAATGAGTTGTACAGCCCGTGCTTAAATGGAGGAGGTGCACATTTCCTTTGCACACCACATGAGAACTGTGTGCAAACTAAGCACAAAAGCATCTCATTAGTTGAGGCAACTATTTAAAAACAGGTATCTAAAAGATCTCAAAGTACTACACAGTAAAGCATTAAAAAACATCGTTCAATTGCCAATTGCTGAGCAGAAAGCAATTTTTTTGTTTGTTTTTTTAAAAATTAAATCAGATCTCATGCACACGTCACTTTAGGTTGTGGAACATGTTTTTATACACCTATTTTTTAAGAAACATTGGACATACATATTTCTAGCTTTCAGCTGGAATCTTTATCAGGAAATCTGTAACTTAGCATTCCAGACCAAGAGTCACAAAAAGCAAAACTGCATAGAGTGGTACAGTATGCTGTTAGTTGCACTGAAAACATTAAAAAATAATTAAAAAAAAAAAAAAAAAAAAAAAAAAAACAAACAAACAAAAAAACCAAGCTCCAATAAAAAGCTCAATTCAGGAAAAGTAAAATAAATGTACTTTTGTGAACTTGAAGGGTTTAATTCTGTGCTTATAATGATAGCAATAGTTCTTCTGACAACATAATCCTCTTTCAAAACTTTGAATGAATAACTGCAGCTACTGAATAATAGCACCTTGAAACAAAATCTTAATTGCAAAACAAAAGAATAGTAAAGAAAAGCGGTTCTGATTTTTTTCCCCCAAAGCTTAAAAAAGTTTAGGTCAGATTTTTGGGTGAAGGTTGTGTTGATGCTTTTCCCCCTTTTATCTCAACCAGCTTACTCAGACCTAATCTTCAACATCTCAACCACATGATTAACACACAAAATAATTTCGGAGCAAGCCAGATCCAAGCAGGAAGCTGCAAGTACTATCATGTCTTCATGAGATTAGCCAGCAAAATAACTGTGGTTTCTTCAGGTTTCTTTTTTTATTTTTAATTATTATGATTATTTATTTTAAAAATTCTCTATGTTTTCCTTGAAAGGGACTTTTTTTTTTTTTTTTTTTTTTTTTTTAACTATTCTTCCTTGCTGGAAACTTTTACATTTCCAGCTTCATCCTTGGAGGAAATGCTTTTTCTCCTACACAATCCCCACAGGACGTGGGCAGGCCTGGACCCTTACAACAAGTAGCCAAGAATATCTCTCACTCTGCTCGTGTCTGTCAGTCAAAACCGCTGTTCAGAGAGCACCACAAGAAATAGTTGTGACTGCATCATGCTTGGGGACTCGTCCTACTGCTGTGTATGAGGCTGGTTCAGAACATTTCACTTGATAGAGCTGTCCTGAGAAAATGAAGGCTCCTTTACTTTCAGGATCCCAATGGGTTCTAGGTGGGAACTATGCACTAACCTGCTCAGATCACAGCAGCTCAGGGCATGTCCAGGCATAAAGTCATTGGTACTGGAAGAAATGTTATCCCGAGCAGAGAAGAACTTACTAAATTGGAGGTGCTTAAGTCCTCTTTTGCACCTGGCCCTAACTTGCAGGGGAGGAAGAGCCAAATGCTCAAAGGCAGCTTTCCATTTTATGGCTTTAAATTATGCAAAACAATATGGACTTGACAATTTTGCACCTGCATTTGTATTGGAGATGAAGGAGAGCCTTGACTGGGCAGAGACAGGCTCTAATCCTCTGCTCCTTCTCTGCTCTGTGAATTCAGAAGGGAAGACAGGACTAATGCCAGCATAAATCACAGTCCCCGTGTGTGCAATACATGCCTATGCTAAGCTGCGTGGTTGGTACAACTGGGTGCTTGTTGGGCAATGGCATGGAGAAGGCTGGGTTCCTTGGAACGTTTTCTGTTCATTGTAATGTTCCTTTGCAGCATTTCATAAGCCATCACAAAGACAACAACAAAAAGGGGGAAGAGAATTTTAAAATGAATTGTGTGTATCCTCCCTCACTACCCCAATAGCCTTGGCAAGCTCAGAGGAGCCAGGCAGAGCTGGTCTCTGCTGGATGTTAGTCTTTGCAAAATTGTATGATAATCTGGAGGAGTTTGCATGATCAAATAGTGAAAGACAAGGAATGAAGTTGGGATACTTAGACTTCATTACTGGTTCCACCACTGAGATCCTGTTTGTTTCAGGATGACATACATAAACTCTTCTTGTTCCATTGGCATGAACCTTGCTTTATGTGTTTGTTCTTTCTGTTATTTTTAGGACTATCACAGGTTCAAATCAAAAGAATAGCAAAATGTCCCGATTTACCTGCAAAACAAATTATAAATCTAATTTCTAAGACCTCGCTGCTCTGATTCAGAGTCTATTAAAGACAGTGCAAAGATATCTACTTACTCCAATATACTTCAGATTACAATGTTACCTCTTGATCAGGTGGAAAAGAAAAGGAAGGACCATAGAACTCAAGGAAGGGATAACCATGATATATATCAGTGTAAAGTAAAAACACCTCAAGGGATGCTGGAAGCAAGACTTCTGTCTTGGCTAGAATATCCAAGTTTAGGGACCATTACATTACTACAGCTTCTTTTTGGCTCATCATGGAAAGAAAACACCTTCCTGTCTTAACTTCTTAATACGAGCTCTATCTTTCTAATTTGCAGTACAGTTCTCACTTGAAAGAGCAACTCAGTTCTGCATTCATGGCAAAAATCCCAATGATTTTACTGTGAGCGCAGAACAGCTCATGTCTTCTCAGTCTCTGCTGTTGTTTTCATGTCCTTCTATCCTGCAATGCCTGCAGATCCTCTCCACTCTTGCCCTCATTCCCAGTCTCTTTCTATGACACAAGTAACAGTTGTTAACTCCATCTGAAAATCTCTTATTCTGTGGCAACTAAGACAGAAAAAGAGGAAATTAAGTTAGTCTTCTGCACCCATTCAAAACATCTCCTGCTTGTAATGAGAAGGTGTTTTCCCCTTGCTTTTCATCATGCGCCCTGCAGTCAAGTTTAGATGTCCTCAGGTGGGATAGCAGGGCAGTTAGACGATCCCAGCTGCCGTTCTTGCAGAAGTATCCTTTAAATAGCACACGATGATTCCAAAGCACAAATTAAAACAATGAAGAAAACAATGAACTAAAAATGTACATCTTTTCAGAAATGAAATCCCATGATTTCACTGCACAGCATTATTATTTCAGTACTGCAGTGTTTTCAAAGCACAACTGGTGTTGTCATCCTTCT